AGCAGATATAGTTTCCCATGAAACTACATCTGCTTCAACAATATTATGGAATTTGAGCTTAATATAGATTAAATATACTTTTTTCATATCACAAATTATGAAAATTTGTTCTGAAACAATATTGTAATGTATTCATCTGTCATCTCTAGAACTTTAGATTAGCATATATATAATTTATCTTTTCATCAAAGTCTAAGGTACTGTCTCTGACTAAGGAAAGAGAAGGTGGTGAAGATGTAGGAGGAACAGGGAATATTAATTAATATACTGAGGGAAAAACCTAGTGCAAAAAAGAAACCAGTTCGAGTCCATGTTAGACAAAGACGTGAAGCTACATTGTCATTACTGGTTCACTAGATCCAAAAAGCAAGACAAAAGCAGTCCAGTTATAAAAACCAGACCTTATTTGAAAGAGAGCTAAGTGATACCGTCACCGTTCAGTTACTAGCCTAGTGAGACCTTAAGAAAACAAGCAGGTTTTGCCCTGTGTCCTATAATGTTGTTTTTACCATTTTCAGGATAGAGAAGAAAGTCATGCCAGTGCCAGAAAATTTGCCAAGTGCTTTGGCATCCTGGGAATTTATTCAGCTTATTTTGAGGAGGTCATCAAGTTCCCAAGGGGCAGACTTTTTTTTTTTCCAGAAGATATTTTGGTAATGGGTCTAATTATAATAACTTTGTTTAATAGCATACTTTTCTTTGAAAGAACTGAAGAATTTTTTAAAAATAATATTTGGTTTCTTTATGGTAACCTGTGAAGTTGGGAAAGGGATATTGATTATCTTATAGCCATAATCTCTTTTCTTTATATTTGGGAAAAATAAAGGAACCCCATCCCACTTACCTCAAAACTGACTAATGAATCGACCCATCTTTCCAAAAGGCTGGAGAAGCTTTAGCTCTGCTGTATCACATTCATTTAGCCAGTGAAATGATGTTCTTCAGAATCTTGAATATTAAATTTAATTTTGACTGTATTTGATAAACTCAGAGTTGAAAATATACCCCATCAAACTTTGGTCTCTGTGTATATGCTGACAGAGATCAAGGTGATTTGTAGGGGTTAGAGATGGAAATCAAAGACATGCTGAGGGAAAAAAAGTCCAATACAAAAGATGTGAAACCATGTTCTCCTAATTACAAAAAACAAGACAAAGTGTTAGGAAAAAAAGTGAACTTATAAATCAGAGTAGCCCTAAATGGAGCTATGTGGCCAATGAAAGGACCTATAAAATGGCATGAGGATAAAACTAAGCAAGGCAAAAGGATTAAGAAATTTCATTGGAATGGGAAGTAAGTTAAGAAAGACCATTCTGAGTCAACTGTAGCAGAATAAAGGGATTGGCAGCCCTCTCCGTGATTCTGCTGCAATGGTTCCTAAAATATTGAGTAAGGCTTTGTGATTCTAATTAGCTAAGTACTAGAAATATGCCTTCTAATGGGACTCGTATGGCTATATGGAATAACTGCAAAAATATGGGGTTTGAGCTTAATATAGATTAAATATACTTTTCACATCATAAATTATGAAAAACTGTTCTAAACAAGATTGTGATTTATTTATCGGTCATCTCGAGAGCTTCAGGGGGTTGGACATGTGTGCACAGAATACAGTGCAGTGCTATTCGCATGTCTAATCAGGGTTTTCCTTGTGCTGACTTTGGGCTGGTTTTCACAGTCCTTGATTAGTGAACTCTAAACAATGGTAATGATAACCAGGCATAATTTTGATGTTGTTCCTTAAATTAGAGTGTGGCCCAGATAGGAAAGCTCATGGTAATCGTAATGATAGCCTATGTATATTGACTGCCTGCTGTTCACCATGTGTTAACTTATTTAATCCTCACAACAACCCTACTAGACATATGAAGAAACTGAGGCACAGAACAGGTAAGTAACTTGCTCAGGCTCACACAGCCAGGAAGTGGCAGATCTCATTTCTTAATTCTGACTCAGTCCATCAGAATGACTTGATGGTTATGACATATCATCCCTGCATGCAATTAAATGAATAACAATCCTTTACCCACACTTGCTAGTGGAAAAGAAACTGACCACATTTTTGGAACACATTGCCTCTATAAGTAAGAACAACTTCTCCCCGTACTTTCTATGAGTTTGAATTTTAGAGAGATTTGTAAACATCTGGAATACTGATATTACATAGTCCAAGAATAATGAGAGACGTGTGGTTTAGTGAATGTGTGAGTGAGTGAGTGTGGTTTAGAAATGAGAGGTTTAGTGAGCTATCCGACCACCAAGATTCATGAGGCCAAACTCAGGCAATGTTACTGATAACACATTTGACCTTACTACCCAGTTTTAAACATTTCTTGCCCAATACTAATCTCATAGCCGTTTCATCTCAGATTTTTCCAAGAAATGCTCCCTTGTCCCAGCTCTCTGTTAAAAAAGAGCATTGGTAAAGTGCTTCATATGAGTACAAGGGCAAGAGCAACCAATATCACAGCCCCGTTGTAGATAGATGGGGAAAAGGATGCATGAAGACATAACAGCCTGATGAAATCCCAACTCAGCAGCAGTGCTATTACTTAATAGATTGGAATATTCTTAAGAGAAGCAGTGACCCTGTTCAGTCAATGCATTTTGAGTCCTCCTGGGGGCCAGGCTCTCTTCTGGGCTCTGAGGACCCAGAATTGAATAAAGCACCTTCCTGGCCCTCAGAGGGCCCCTTAACTGACTCATCTCTTCTCTGTTAAATCCTTTTGTCTCTAAGTCTTGCATAATCATGCTGTCACACTGAGATCTAGTTCAGTAGTTTCATGATGTCCCCCTCAAGTCAGAGTGAAATGAGCGACTCTTCCTCTGAAATCCATGGAAACGTTGAGTTTGCTGTTTTGTTCTCCTTGATAAAATAGAGCATAATAACTAGTTGCTGGGTTACTACAGAAAACCCAGGCCCCAAACGGCAGCCGGGAAGAGCAGTTAGCAATTAAGTAAAGGAAATGATTAGTGGGTTTGAAACCCAACCCACTGCCCATGTACTTCTTAGCAGAATCAGGCATCTAGGTTACTTAGGCAACTTTTATCACTAAGGAAGTAGTTTTGGTGACTCATGCTCAAACAGGATAATTTCTTTTCAAATCTGTGTATTCAGTGACCTTACCATCATCCTTATGTTTTTCCTTCTCTTAGCACTGGGACACAAAGACTACATTTGGATGGCTTTGGCTCATCACTTATTAGTGTATCCTTCACTGGCTGGCCCGTAGTTTGAAATTTAATGGACTCGTGGTGATCAGAGTAAAAGGGCAGTAGTTCCTGCAATATATTCCTATATTAAAGGTAGAACTAACAGCTTCTTTTCTAAGCAGAAATGTTGTATCTTGTAATAACAACGTTTCTTGTCAGTTTTTATTTATGGAACAGTGCTGTTTAAAATACTAGCCACACTTCTGAAAAATAAACTAAAATACTGAAGTATTTTATACCATAACATAAAATGCCTTCATTTTCCCCAAAGAGATGCAAAATGGAATGAAAATCTCCCTGAGAGCTGTCTAGAGATGATGATCACAAAAATAAAGGAGGCTGAAGAAACCTCCTTTGCCAGCTTCTCTCTTAGATTTTTGATCTACCTGATGGATGTTCCAACAGTATCTGTTTGTGGACAGTTAACATTTTTTTTCTGTTAAAAGAATAGTAGAGATGGTATAGAAAAAAATGAGTAATGAAAAGTGTTATAGGTTGATGATGTGTTTGGAGAATTGTATGCAAGAACTTACTATTGACAGAGAAAAACCAAACCAAACCAAATTGGAAGCCAAGTGTCTGAGATGATTCTGGGTTAGGACAGGAGCAGCCTGGCTTGGTCTCCAGGTTTTTCTGGTAGCCTCAGTGGTGACAGCTTTCAGTGTGGTCAGCCTCAGGATCACGTGAGTCGTTATTATGTTTTTTTCCTTAACCCCAGAAACCATGCCGTAAGTCAAAATTTAGACAGTTTAGCTGTTTTCATTTTGCTTTCAATCTAGTCGTTTTCTGTTTTTAATTTTGTGCCTGGAAAAACTTGAAAAAGGCCATGAGTCATGACAACTGTTTCCTTTTCCTCCAAATAGAAGCCTTAGCAGCTGAGCGGTTTTCAGTGGGGACCCTTTAAGGGAATGTTTGGGAGAAATACGTATCCAGGGGTTCTCCCAAAGTGTGGTACCCAGACCAGCAGTGGCAGCATCCCCTGGAAATCTGTTAGAAGTGCCCACTGTCAGGCACCACTCCAGATGTGATTGAATCAGAGGCTCTGGGGAAGGAAGTCTGTGTTTTAACCAGACATCTAGATGGTTCTGAGCAACGCTCAAGTCCGAGAACCACTGTGTTAGTGAATTGTTAGTAGTTATGGCTATTGAGAGTGTGAAAAATATAGTGGTTGGAAGGTGGGCATGTTTATGAGTCTTTGCTTGTGAGGAGATGAATCAGAGAGAGAAAAGAACGCTTTAACTTTTGGAATTCAAAAAAGAAAGAGAAAGCCTGGAATTTAATTAGCAGGACTAATTGCTTGCATGAAACTTTGCTCTCTCAGAGAACAGCGATCCAGATGACTAGGTTACTGTGAAATATAGTGGCATGGTTTTGAAGTTCTAGAAGAATCTCTCTAGTGAGAAAAGGCATGCCTTTCCATATTAGGACATAAATTCAACTCAGTTTGGTAGAATCCTATAAGATTCTTGTATCCCAGTGACTTGGCCAGCTCCTTTACTTCTTGAGGCCCTACTTTCTACATCTGAAAACCATATGCTTCGTTAGTTGCCATGAATTATCTCATTGGAATGAAGTGAGGGATTCATTATATGGAAGAGGATTTGTGAGGCATCTTGATTACTGAAAAATGCAAACCATAAGGATCAAGAGTGATTCATATAAATCTTGATGCAACTATGAGTTGATACGTCAACTTCCCCTTGATATGTGCTCCCCCTTTTAATTATTTATTTATTTTGGCTGCACCGGGTCTTAGTTGCGGTGTGCGGGATCTAGTTCCCCGATCAGGGATCGAACCCAGGCCCCCTGCATTGTGAGCTCAAGTCTTCCCCACTGGACCACCAGGGAGGTCCCTGTTCTGTGCTCCCTTTAGTCTTGACTCTCATGTATTCATTTTTGGTGTTAAACAAATCACAGTTTTTAAAAGCTTTAATCTTCATTTCCTCATGGAAAACTTAGTATTCATGATACCTACTCCCAGGATTGTTGTGAGAAGAAAATTAGATTAAAATAGGAAAAGGCAGTTTTAAAGCTGAAACATTACAAATTTTAGGTATTGTTGTTTTGATTGCAGTTATTTCATGTCCAAATTGAGAAAGCTTTGTGATTGTTGACATAATGATATCATCCAGGAGTTTGGAATAAGTGTGTACATCAGCGGATTTTATGATTACAAAAAATAGCTATGTTTACTTTTCTACTAATTCTCCTTCAGTGGAATGTTCCCATTTTCTCATGAAGTGGGGGGAGATCCACATATGTTTATTAAAGAAAGCAAGCCTCGTATTTTTTATCCTTTGAACCGAGAGGCTACATGTTATTCATTGTTTTTGAGTCAGGCTACCTGGGTAAATTCCCAATCCTCTACCTACTTGCAACCATGGATAAACCTCAGTTTCCTCATATGTAAAATAGGGGTGGTAATAATACAGATTCGTATGAAGATGAAATGGGAAATGTATGTATAGAATACATAGCAGAGTGCCTGGCGCAGAGTAAGCATTCAGTAATGTGGGCTGTTGTTGTGACTATCATTATTAAACTGCAGCATGAAGAAGAGGCAAAAAGGTTGTGTGTGAAAGTCAAGGGCAGGAGGGAATAAAAAGACAAGGGGGACAGCTTTGAAAATGGTCTGATCATCCTGCAAATGACAATCCAAGCAATTCCCACGACTTTTGAAAATCAAAGACTTCCCTGTTGCTTCCAATGAGAAAATGAACCATAGTCATTTGTAATGTCCATGTTCCTGTAACAATCAAAATCACAGTCTTGCTTGAAAGTTACATGTCTTCCCTTTCCCAGCATGAGCACGCAGAAGGCAAAGAGCTGTAGGAAATGGGAGTCCTCGCCTCTCTCTCTCTCTCTCTCTCCCTCTCCCTCCTTCCCTTTCCCTCTCCTTCTCCCCCCACCCCTCTCTCTCTGAAGTGCTCCTACTTCTTCTCTATCTTGGTAACTGAAGTTTCTTGCTGCTCTAGGGTTAGAGCTCATAGCAGAGAAAAGGTTGGGGAGATAAGAAAGTTCTTACTTGACAAGGACTGTTGATGATCCAGTACTTAAAACTGGCCCTCTCCATTTGGTCTGTGTTTAAAACTGGCCCTTCTTCTAGCAGGTGCTTCTTTGTTTCCCAGAGCTCCCTTGACCTGCAGAAGTGCATTTGTATTTGGTCATCCACAGTCTCAAGGAGTCATTCTGAAGTACACCCCTTGCTGCTTTTTGCTCTGATACCTACTTTCCAGCGGATGATCCTGAACAGGATCTAAGACAGCTAGCGCTATCTTGCATGGCTCAGATCTGGTCCAAGGGAAATACTTTACCTTCAAAAGCTCAGAGGGTAATGAGGATACAATTTTCAATCCCTGGGTAGCCCTTTGAAGCTCTTTGCCTTACACTTGCGGTAAGCAAACAACCCCATAGATCTTCTGGTCAGATTCACACAGCATGCTGGCAACTTGCTCCAAAAACTTTCATCTTCAAAAATCTCCAACTCTTTTTGCCTCTGACATGGATAAATGGTTATATCTTAACCTGCATAACCTGCCTGGCATGCTTCCTTTGAAAATGTTGCTTTATACCGTTGTATTTCCCTTTGGAATGTGGTGTCTAGTGTTCAGTACTTGAGTCAAAACTTGCACTTTAATTCAAGGTAAAAGGGGGAGAGGACCGCTTTGGGGATGCTTTGATTTCACAGACCATCACCCCAAAGTTGGTGGTGCTGCAGAGGAAAATATGGTTTACGCATGCAGGTGTTATTGGGAGCCTCATGAATGCCCACCCTAATCACAAAGTAAAGATGTAACGGTGAGTAGTGGTTTTTCCTCATAGGCAGTTGTTTTGGTTGTGGTGGTTGTTTTTTTGTTAAAGCAACTGACATAGCACTTGGGACTGATTTATGTTATGACTTTGGGAGATAAAATGTGTTTAAAAATAGTGTTCCCATGAAATTAAAAAACGGTTAACTTTCATCAGTTGTAGGATGATCCTAGACTACCGTGTGTGTGAAACTTGTCTCAAGACAAATTAAACAAAATATATTACGTATTGTGTTTAAATGGTTTTTTTTTGCATTTCAGGTATAACTTTTTAAAATGTGAAAACACACATAAATGTGTACAGATATATACAACTCTGAGCTCATGCCAAAAATGTGTGTGACTGCCTTGTGATAGCTTTGGAGGTGGGTATCTGAGTATGATCTGAATATGGGCTTGTCATTGGAATGCCATGGAAGCCTCCTGTGCTTGCTTTTGTAGATCCTAGATACTATTGTGAAAATTGTACAGACCTATCAAAACTTGCTGAGAATTTGAAAACTTGATATATTATACATTTCTCTAATGATTCTTGATGTCAGTTTGGTTGTTTTTTAAACTATGCTTGATTGGCATGGCAGATTTAGGGTAGTCAAATCGTGAGATAATAAAATACCTATCTACGCATCCATCCACCCAGGAGACTCCTGAAATATTAGAAGTTAGTACTAAAATTGCCCTTAATTAAAAATAAATAATAACAATAATAAAAACCGTGGCATTAATTTGAATTGAAAAATAAAGCAAAGTCTGTATTTTGGTTCCTAATTAGGAAAAAGGAGAGAAAGATTTTGTCTTGAAATTTTTTCTGTTTTATTACTTTTTTTTTTTTTTGCAGTACGTGGGCCTCTCACTGCTGTGGCCTCTCCTGTTGCGGAGCACAGGCTCAGGACGCACAGGCTCAGCGGCCATGGCTCACGGGCCCAGCCGCTCTGCGGCATGTGGGATCTTCCCGGACCGGGGCACGAACCCGTGTCCCCTGCATCGGCAGGCGGACTCCCAACCACTGCGCCACCAGGGAAGCCCCTACATTTTTAACATAAGTATATGAGGGCAATATTAGTGAGGCCAGGGGCCTTACACCTTAGTGATTTTTTTTTCTTTTCTCTCCTCTCATTTTGTCGTCCCTCCCCTCCACGCTTCTCCTTTCCTTTTCTTTCCTGATAGCGGGTGATGTGCTCCAAAGAGATGAAAATACCTGGAAAGATTTTGTGGACCAGTCAACTCTGAGCCAACTTGAGGATATGGAGGCAAGAGTCCAAAAGGAAAAGAGAGAGAGAGAGAGAGAGAGAGATGGATTCTTCTAAATTTTGTGCAACACTCATGTAAATAGGAGCTAGCATTTAAACACATAGCATGGTGCACCAAGGTTGGTGAAAAGACGGTGTACCGGTAGGTCTGAAAATGGGGGAAGTGTGTAATAAGTGCTACATTAGATGAAGCAAGGTTTAAAAGGGTGTTACTGAATTGGAAGCATCAAAATGGACTTATGACTTTAAAAAGCCCCCCTCTAAAGCTGAAAGAGTAGAAGCGGTCCCTGGTATCACACTACCTACAGCCACAAGGTATGTGGGAAAATCTAATATATCCTCTAGGCGCTGGGTTTTGATGTCTTCTGCTCTTCTCACGGAAAGGAACTCAGAGGATAACTGGTACCAGATCTTGGGAAAATATTGAAAGGAGCTAAGAATGGGAAGGCATAGCTAAGAAATGTTTGCCAAAGAAGAGGAATTGTGATACTTCCTACCAGATGTGAGAATGTATTATGAAGCTTGAGTAATTAAAAGTGTGGTTCCCCAGCAGACTTTTCCAAGAAGGGATACGCCGCCCCAATGCAGATCACACTAAATTAGAACATAGTGTGTAGAACCGGAAGTATTAAAAACCAATGTGAAAGGGGAAACTAGATTTTTAGAGGAAAGTTGGGTTAAAAACCTCACCTTGCATACTATATCAAAATACATTTTAAAGCTGAAACATAAGGGAAAGAAGAACATGGAGGTGAATTTAGCTTATTTTTTTCTAAGTAAAGGACTCTCTAAGCCTAAAAAGATACAGGGTAAGTCACAAAGGAAAAATATGTGTATTTGGCTGCAGAAAATTAAGTACTTTTGTGTCATAAGATATTATCAACCAAATTAAATGGAAAATGTGGAACTGGGAAGTGTTTTTGCAATACATGTGGCTGATAGCTTTAGAACTAACAACAAAAATCACATTTGTGATAATTCAATAAGAAACACATATTAACCCAGTAGAAAAAGGACAAATGTCACAAATAATTGACAAAAGAAAAAATTACAGGTGACTAATAAACATATACTTAACCCTAAACGTATAAAAATTTAGGTTTTTATGTTAATCAAAAAAAGGGAAAATAAAAAGGCCCTACTCATTTGTGACCTACGAGATTGACAAAGGTTACAAATGGCAACACTTCGTAAGGATACAGCAGGAGAGCATTCCAGCCACTGCTGATGGGAATATGGGCTCTGCAGTCTTTTTTGGAGATGACTTTTGACCATCTGCATAAAGGACTTAGGTCATAATTATAAACTTTTTACCCAGTAACCCCATATTAGACTCGATCTGGTAAACATAATAAGAGAATATTTGAATATTAATATGCAAGAATATACATTACACTCACTATTGATGTGAAAAACTAAAACCTCTTAAGTGTTCAATACTGAGAGAACAGAAAAATAAATTATTGTTTATGTACTTATGTATTGTTAAGGCAGGAAAGATGTTCAGTAAAGTGTTAAAACTGGTTGTGTTTTAGGGGTAAGGATGGAATCAAGTTTTATAGAAGGATGTATCTTTTTTTCCTTTTTATACTTTTGTAATTTGTTTTACCTCTCAAAATTAGTGTGTATTATTTCTAAAATTTCTAAAATTCATAAAAAATGTATATCTTTTTATATATATAATGAAGTGCAGAATTGGTAATGATAAAACGTTAGGTGAAAAAAATCAGGGTATAAAATACATATGCGAGGGGCTTCCCTGGTGGTGCGGTGGTTAAGAATCTGCCTGCCAGTGCAGGGCACACGGGTTCGAGCCCTGGTCTGGGAAGATCCCACATGCCGCGGAGCAACTAAGCTCGTGCGCCACAACTACTGAGCCCGCGTGCTACAATTACTGAAGCCTGTGCGCCTAGAGCCCATGCTCTGCAACACGAGAAGCCACCACAATGAGAAGCCCTCGCACCGCAACAAAGAGTAGCCCCTGCTCGCCTCAACTAGAGAAAGCACGTGTGCAGCAATGAAGACCTAATGCAGCCAAAATAAATAAATAAATTAAAAAAATACATATGCAATAAAATTATGATTTTGGTAAAATATAATTTGTGCAAAGACTAGCAGGATAAACATCAAAACATCAGCCATAGTTCTTTCCTTCTTTTTATGTATATTTGCCTATTTTCCCAATTATGCTTTAAATATTTTATTTTATTTATTTATTTATTTTTGGCTGAGTTGGGTCTTCATTGCTGCACGCGGCCTCTCTCTAGTTGGGGCGAGCAGGGGCTACTCTTCGTTGTGGTGCCTGTGCTTCTCATTGCAGTGGCTTCTCTTGTTGTGGAGCACACGCTCTAGGCATGTGGGCTTCAGTAGTTGTGGCACATGGGCTCAGTAGTTGGGCTCGCAGGCTCTAGAGCACAGGCTTAGTAGTTGTGGCGCATGGGCTTAGTTGCTCCGCGCCATGTGGGATCTTCCCAGACCTGGGCTCAAACCCGTGTCCCCTGCATTGGCAGGCGGATTCTTAACCTCTGTGCCACCAGGGAAGTCCCTCTCTGGGTATTTCTAATGTATGTTTATCAGGTCTCTTTCACTTTTGGTGATCAACAAAAATTTATTTTCCAAATAATAATGTCTCATCTCTAGGGAACTAGTATTTTGATGAAACTGCAATTTGAAGCTTTTGGATTTTAAAACTGTAAACTCTACAAGGATATATAAAGACTGCTCTTTGTTGCATTCTTTTCCCACCCTATTCTAGGATTTAAACCTAAAATGAATGGAGTAAAAAAAGATATGACATGTAGATTCCAGACATTCTTTCCTAACTAGAATGATTTTTAACTGCTAATGTGAATTTTTCCTCAAAATATGCCAACTCTCTTATTTATTACTTGATGCCTTCCAGACTTTTTTTTTTAAATACTCTTACTATCTTCTAATTTCTCTTCCTTTAAAAATGTGCTTCTGTGATTTGTAAATTAATCTGTTAACCCAGAGAATATTGTTTTATGTGACACTGAGCAAGTCATGTGAAGTTTTCTCCTTTTTATTCTTTGTAATAAAGCAGAATATTAAAAAAGAAAATCTGGGGCTTCCCTGGTGGCGCAGTGGTTCGGAGTCCGCCTGCCGATGCAGGGGACGCGGGTTCGTGCCCCGGTCCGGGAAGATCCCACGTGCCACGGAGCGGCTGGGCCCGTGAGCCATGGCCGCTGAGCCTGCGCTTCCGGAGCCTGTGCTCCGCAACGGGAGAGGCCACAGCAGTGGGAGGCCCGCGAACCGAAAAAAAAAAAAAAAAAAAGAAAATCTGATAGGTCTAAAATAGATTAGTAAGCATTTTAAACATTCATAAAGTTCTTTGAAACTTATAAGCCTATATTATCATGTATTATTGATGTTATCCTATTATTAAAACATACTTTTGCCATCTACTGAAAGATAGTCTATTTCAGTCATTCCTATTCTCTGAATGACTAAACATAGAACAAATCCCTTTGGGACTTGTACTGTATTTTAACTTAGCAGTAATTACCTTAAATGGAAATGAAACACTAATGGTCTTGATCTGCAGGAATCAGTTTAACTCTAGAATGCAAGGGTTAATGGCCTCTGGTGCATCCCAAGTGTGAATAGAAAGTTTGGGGGATAAGTTGGGCTTGTGTTGTATAATATTTATGGACGTGACTTTGAAAGCTAATAAAGTCAATTTTAACCATTTTAAATAAATACGAAGTTGATTTTTTTCCTTATACAGTGAATAAATGTAGTAAGTGCCGTATTATGGGACTGTTACATTTCATTTATTTTTATCACTATTGGATCATATGAGAATGATTCTAAGTCCTGTCATGCATCTAAACCACTACCTAACTAGCAAGGGTAAAATGAAAAATCCTTGTATGTGATTCTTCTCTGGCTTTTAGTTTGTCAGTATTGATAATTGTAGCAACTTTTGAAAAAAAGACTATGAAGAATAATAAGGGCTTTTATGGAGTGTGTGTGTGCATGCAGGTGTGCCTGTGTATGTCTTTCCCCTTTTCCTCTTCCTGATACTTCTGGTTTGTGTGATTTGGTTGTGCCTCAGACAGTTCTAGATATTCAGGTAAATTACTAGGGAAAAGGAGCAAAGTAATAACAGCTCCCAAAGGCATTACATTTTCATCTCCTCTATTCATTGAAGGCTGTAATAGAAAACAATGAAGACATCTTGTTGGATAATAGGCAAACTAGTCTCCTGGTAATATAACTTTTTTGAAAACACACTAGGAAAATAATTCTCTCTATGTAATTGTTAGAAAAGAATGGCTTATACCTTACATTATAATTTGTAGTTCAGCTGTTAACTGAACAAAGCTCAAACGGAACAAAGTGGAAGGAAATCAGTGTCTATTGTTCTAGGCATATTACTGAATTTCTCTCTCTCTCTCTTTATATATATACATATATATATATACACTCACATATACAGATATGTATATATGTACAAATTAATAATCGATTGGATACAGACGACTACCTTGCTAGCAAATATTACCCTTCTTTCATAGATAAAGTGAGTATTAGAGTCAGGATTCACATTAACCAATTTATTTATTTTTCTAAAATAAGCTTTGGGACCTCCCTGGTGACTCAGTGGTTAAGAATCCACCTGTCGATGCAGGGGACACGGGTTCGAGCCCTGTCCGGGAAGATCCCACATGCCACGGAGCAACTAAGCCCGTGTGCCACAACTACTGAGGCCGAGTGCCACAACTACTGAAGCCCTCACGCCTAGAGCCCATGCTCCGCAACAAGAGAAGCCACCGCGATGAGAACCCCGCGCACCGCAACGAAGAGTAGCCACCACTCGCCGCAACTAGAGAAAGCCGTGCAGCAATGAAGACCCAACACAGCCAAAAATAAAAATTAATAAAAGAATAAGATTTATTTATGTATAATTGTGCAATAAAATTAATCAATTCTAATGTATAATTTTGACAAGTATATACGGCTAAGTAAGCATTATCACAATCAAAACATAAAGCTTGGGGACCTCCCTGGTGGTTCAGTGGTTACAACTTCACCTTCCATTGTAGTGGGTGTGGTTTGATCTCTCGTTGGGGAGCTAAGATCCCACATGCCTCACGGCCAAAAATCCAAAACATATAACAGAAGCAATATTGTAACAAATTCAATAAAGACTTTTAAAAATGGTCCACATCGAAAAAAAAAATAAAGCTCTTTGTATCACCCCCCAAAATCCTCCTGTGACCCTTTGCACTCAGTCTCTCCTTTGCGCTGGCCTCAGGGAACTCCTGATCTTCCCATGGCATTAGTTTTGTCTTTGTCATATAGCATGTAGTTCTGTGTGTCTGGCTTCTTTCTCTTGCATTATTCATTTAAGAATCATCTGTGCTTCAAGTATATCAGTGTTTCTTTTTATGGCTGAGTAGTATGCCTTTGTATAGTTATACCATTTGTTTATTCATTTGTTACTTGAGGCACATTCGGTTTGTTTCCAATTTTAACCAATTTATTTTAAGGACCGTGTTCCTTACCCTGTATCAAGCTGCCTTTGCAGGAGTGACTGGGCAGGGAATCTATTATAAATGTTAGTAATTAGTCTTTGAGATTGACCCTCTTTGGTGAAGCAAAATTAACCTTTTTGCCTGACCTTTAGAACATGCATTGCTGTATGGGTTCGGGTTCGCTTCACAATTCTACAAAGTTGCCTTTATTCCTCAGGCCAACCTGTTCTCAGGAAGCACCATATTCTGGTGACTAGGGCTGCTTTTGTTTGGACCCCTGGGCTTTTCATCTGGGGTTAGGGGCCCAGCAGGCATGGGACAGCAGAGCCGATGAAGTATCTTTTGTACTAAGTTACGGACTTTCCAGTGAGTTGGAATTCCCTGTTCTCCACCTACCTGTGGGCCTGGGCAAGTTACCTAATCCCTCTGGATCTCTGTGTCTTCATCTCTCAAACTGAGGTTGGATGAAATCAGTCGTTTACAATCCATGTCCCACCAGGTCACTTAGACGCAGCTACGGAGACCAATGGTAGTAGGAGAGGTGCTTCTGGACTGCTTACCATCCATGCTTCGACAAGAGGACAGCTGTGTGTGTGTGTGTGTGTGTGTGCGCGCGCGCGCGCGTATGTGTGTGTGTATGTGTATGTGTGTGTGTGTGCGCGCGCACCCTCACTCTACGTCTCCCTCTCTGCCCTGATTCTATACTTTTTTCTTTTTTAAATTTTTTGCCCGTGCCACGTGGCATGTGGGATCTTACTTCCCTGACCAGAGATCGAACCCCGAACTCCCTGCAGTGGAAGCGCAGAGTCTTAACCACTGGACTGCCAGGGAAGTCCCTGCCCTGATTCTAAATGAGATTTTGTTTGAACAAAATATTCTACATCTAAAACTAGTTGGAAAAACACTGGACCAAATAGTCCTTAGGTTCCTTCCTGCTCTAACTTTCCATGAGCATATGAAAGCAGTTTTAAAGATAGAGAATCTCACTGTTTTTAATTTAATTAAAATGTAATCTTTAAAATTTGCTGCAAAACATTGTTTGATTTGAAATTTCAGAAAGAGCCTCAAAGAGAAATATCCAGGTCAAAATCTATGACTGAGTCCTTGGAAATGGCAAAGCTATAAGGCACACTGCGTGGCTTCTATGCTTTTCAGCAAGAAAAATCTATCATGGGGCTTCCCTGGTGGCGCAGTGGTTGACAATCTGCCTGCTAATGCAGGGGACACGGGTTCGAGCCCTGGTCTGGGAGGATCCCACATGCCGCAGAGCAACCAGGCCCGTGAGCCACAACTACTGAGCCCACGTGCCACAACTACTGAAGCCTGCACTTCTAGAGTCCGGGCTCTGCAACAAGAGAAGCCACAGCAATGAGAAGCCCGCGCACCTCAACAAAGAGTAGCTCCTGCTCGCCACTACTAGAGAAAGCCCGTGCACAGCAACGAGGATCCAACGCAATGAAAAATAAATAAATAAATAAGTTAAAAAAAAAAAAAGAATGGCCATCATGGAAACTCAAAGATGGTTGCAATAAGTATTTTAAGCATTTGGCAGGCTATGTTTAATTTTGTTAAATATTAATGATCAGTGACAGGCAGGAGAGGAAGAATAAAACATCATTAGATTTCAACTTATACAATGAGCCCTTAAATAATTCAGAGTAGGCTATTATTATTATTATTATTTTTTTTTTTTTGCGGTACGCGGGCCTCTCACTGCTGTGGCCTCTCCCGTTGCGGAGCAACAGGCTCCGGACGCGCAGGCTGAGCGGCCATGGCCCACGGGCACAGCCGCTCGGCGGCACGTGGGATCCCCCCGGACCGGGGCACGAACCCGTGTCACCCGCACCGGCAGGCGGACCCCCAACCACCGCGCCACCAGGGAAGCCCAAGGCTATTCTTTTAATATAGCCCTTGGTATTATATTGTACCCCTTAATTATTTCTGATATACTTCATATGTGCAAAGTGTTAACTAGCATTTTGGTTTTTTAACAAAGTGTATTTTATGTTTTGAAGGAATATGCAGTGAACATCCTAAAGTTCAACTCTTGATGTTTGTATTTTCAAAAAGTGTGTTGAGCTTCTCTGATTAGGATATCAGCTCTATTGGACATATCATTGAGGATAACTTTATGGGAAACTATAGGATTAGAAAGCCCTTTTCCTCCTGCACGAACATTTAAGAAGGAATAATCAATATACATCTCTTTTTTTCTTTATCTGCCCTGCCCACATTCCTCCTTGGCTACTCCCGATTGGGGCACCTCCAGCTCAACAGCTTGTGCCGGGGTTTGGAAGAGAACGTATACATAATCTGATGCAAGGGGGCTTAGTGTCTTACAGATGCTTCCATGGAGAGAGCTGTAAATTATGATTATGGAGCAAGTTTCTGTTCTTGAAATGATTATCACGCATGGTCAGCGTTAGAGAGGAAATACCAGGTGAAGAGAAGAAGTGGCGTATATGAGGTGACAACTGGGCTAGAGCGAACTGAAAGGATTTAGTGATAGGAACAGGTGGGATTTGTATTTCCGAAGACTGGGAGGCAAGTGGATTGGGGAATTGAAACAAGTCGTGGGTTTCCAGCCTGGGAGTCTAGAAGGAAACTTCTGCTCAAAGTGTGGGTCTTGAAGAAGGTTAGGATTTCTAGGCAGGGTAAAGAACAGAAAGGGAACCTCAGAAATGAAGGATGTTTGGGGGATTCCGAGTACTCTAGTTTATAGCAGCATTAAAGTAGGGGAGAAAGCAAAGTTAAGGCAGAAAAATGAGTCTGGGGTTACATTGTGAAGACCCTTAAGTATCAGAGTGAACCGTTTGTAATCATCCTGTGTGTGGAATGGGGCTCTACTTCTCTTCCTCTCAGGAAGCTGGTATTTTTCATGAACTCTTCTGTATATTTGTCTTGTCTCCTACAAGGTAAGATCCTCGGTCATATTTATTTTGATTTATAGCACTAATGCTAAACAGATGCTAGATTTATTTAACGTATTGGTTCTTGACTATATATAAATCACTGTGACTACATAGCTCCTTTTATATTGTATGTCCTGATGTATATTTATGGTACTAATATTATGCAATAAATATTTAAAAATTTTGTTTCATGCATTATATACATGATGTTAGCGTGTGTATGATTTCTATAGGCTTAATTGGTTTAAAAGCATATTTGCTTAAAGCAGATTTTTAAAATGTCTTCTTTCAAGATCATTTCAATTTGAGCTGGTAGTTAACATGTGGCCCAGTCAGGACTCACGTTTTCAAATACTAATTCAGCCTCAGAATCTTAGAGCCACAGGGCCCTCAGCAATCATTTCCCCTTCTTTCTCGTGCTTTCTTTTACAGATGAGGAAACCAGGCTCACCGCCAAGGCACACAACTGGTTACTGGCAACGCCAGGGTTAAGACTCCCTTCTCTGGTATCTTTCTACACACCACCCCTCTTATCTGAAATAAGTGACCAATAAAAAAACATGCAGGGACTTCCCCGGTGGCACAGTGGTTAAGAATCCGCCTGTCTATGCAGGAGACACGGGTTCGAGCCCTGGTCAGGGAAGATCCCACATGCCCGGAGCAACTAAGTCTGTGCCCCACAACTGCTGAGCCCACATGCCACAACTGCTGAGCCCACATGCCACAACAAAGAGTAGCCCCCACTCACCACAACTAGAGAAAGCCGTGCGCAGCAACAAAGACCCAATGCAGCCAAAAGAAACCCCCCAAAACAAAAAAACATTCAAAGGCCAATACACATTTACTGTTAAAAAATTTCACAGGACACATCAAAATGGATCACTCAGTTCCATAATGGAAACACAGTAGGCATACTTTTATTTGTTAACAGCATTACATTAGCACATGTGAATGTTTCTATCAGTTATTATTACAAGTGGTACTCCACAATTTCTCCTAACAAAAGTGAACATGTGTGGGACTTCCCCGGTGGTCCAGTGGTTAAGACTCTGCGCTTCCAATGCAGGGGGCCTGGGTTTGAACCCTGGTTGGGGAACTAAGGTCCCACATGCCAAGAGGCCAAAAAAAAAAGTGAACGTGTGGTGGTAACCGGAACAATAGAAAAACAGTTCACAATGAGACCATTTCTTCTCCTGGGTATGACCACGTTTTCTTAGTTTGTAATCCAGCTTCTAACAATTTGGTCAGTGGATCATCTTGGAGAAGCAAGGCCCTAGCACTTGGAGGGCCATAATTGTAACCGAGCAGGACACTATGGGGCCTTCCTGGGACAGACCCCCTCCCCCATAGCTTCTGCTTTAGTTCCTCTCTGAAGTACCCAGATAATTTGTATCCGATGCATATTTCCTGAGTCTTTCAGATGCTAAAACCACTACCAAATGGAAGAAATTAACTACTTGATGATCAAGAGCATTAGCTCCAGACCTTCTGGCACCTAAGGATTGATCACCATCAACCAATCAGAGAACTGTGCACGAGCTGATCACATGCCCTGGGACACCCCTCCCTCACCTGGCCCTTACAAAGGCTTTGCTACAATCCTTTGGAGAGTTCTGGGTTTTTGAGCACGAGCTACCTATTCTTGATTCACCCTGCAATAAACCTTTCTCTGCTCCCAACTCAGACGTTTCAGTATCATTTGGCCTCACTGTGCGTCAGGCACATGTACTTGCATTTGGTAACTTAAATAGTTTTATGAACAGCATATCCAATCTTGGGGGTATTTTCCAAGCTAAAACAGAATGAACCTCGCTAACGATTAAGCAGGCGTCCTCTGTGTTAGTTCACACCGGATCTCTGGGGCACGTGTGCTGACTTTTGCACTTGTAACTCTGGCACCTTCTCTGGGCGAGAGGCTGATTTATCTCCATCACTCAAGCTAAGGCCCAACACCAGGCGGTACGTGCTCAAGGCTAATGGAAGAAAGGTTTGGACGCTTTAGGCTTCCAAGGGACAGAAAAGCAGCATGCCTGAAATATAAGTTTTTCTGGATTCTAACCCGTGTTAATTCACTTTGAGGCAAAGGCAGATTTCGCCCCTCTACTGAGCCCCAGATTTTCTTTTTCCCTCCCAAGGCTCCTGAATACACCTTAAAAGGAAGATGGAGCGTAAATCAGGCCAAGGAGTGGCCGCCATTCACTTGGGAGGCCTTGGTGCTTTCGGCCCTTTCTCCACCTGCTAATCTCTGCCAGCCCTGGGCCCCGCGCTGTCCTGTGAAGCCGTGAGCCTGAGCTTTTAAGAGGAGGGGGCGGGGGGGTGGTACTGAAAAGCGGCGGAACCAAAAGCGAGGGAGCGGCGCTGCCGGGGGGAAGGAGGAGCCACGGGACCGGCAGGCCTAGTTCCGAGGCGGAGGCGGCGGCGGCGGTGGCGGCGGCGTGGGGATGGAGCCCCTGCGGGTCCTGGAGCTGTACAGCGGCATTGGGGGTATGCACCAGGCGCTGAGAGGTAAGAGGGCACAGGGCGCCTCCTGCCTCGCGCGTTGTTGGTGGTCAGAGCTCGGGCTCCTGGGAGGGGCGGAGCGGCGAGACACTAGGGGCGGAGACTGCAGGGGAAACTGTGTATGTGTGTGTGAGTGTGTGTGTGTGAGTGTGTGTGTGTGTGTGTGTGTGTGTGTGCGCGCGCGCGCGCGCGCGCGCGGGAGTTGCTCGGTTGTCATAGAAACCGTCGGCTCGGCGCCCCAGCCGCCCCTGCGGGCGGAGACTCCCTCCCTCCCGCCGCGAGCCTGGTCCGAAGGGCGGGCGGGGCACCTGCCAGGACCCAGTTTGTAAGTCCAGATCCGCAAGGCTTGGATGTAAAGTCAAACCAAAACGGTACCGCCAAAGGGGGAGGGGTGAGCCCCCTGCCCTGTGCTAATCCCCAATTCGGTATGGCTGTCACCAGCGGCGTGGAAACTAGGTCCTTCACCCTCGAGGAGGTCACAGCGGGGGAGGGGAGGTCACTGGGCTGGGTTCTGCAGGTGAGGGACGAATCTTCAACGGGATAACTACAGTGCCACATAGAAGTTAGTGAACACTCAGCAGAACTGTAGGGGAAGCCTGGAGGAAAATCCCGGTCAGTTCTGATCATTGAAAAGAAACGTCTTGTTACTTCATGTCTGGGTACATTTAGGCGCCAGAAGCCCTGAGTTCAAACTTAGTTGCAGTGTGACCTTCACATTTTTGAGCCTGTTTCCTAGTTTCACAACGTGAAAAGTAATTCAGAGATGGAGAATTATGAGGATTAAAGAAAAAGTGGGTAAAACCTTTAATAATGCCTGGTACCTTGTAGCCACTCACAATATTATAAAGTATTGTCACGATTTTATATATCTTTTCCATGTTGAGGTTTTTAAATTTCTTTGGTCCTAAGTTGGAACTGCAAGGTTTATTTTCAGTGACATTCACTCAAAAATATTTATTGAGCTCCTCTTATGTTCCAGGTACTGTGCTAGGCACTGGAGGTATAGAGTGACAAATAGATTTGGAACGCACATGTTTATTCTTAAATTACTATGACAACCGCAAAACTGAAACTTCCCTGCTTCCTTTTTTTTAGTACCAAAGATAACAAGAGACCAATACCGTAAGATACGGACAGTATGTAATGAGTTGAGCACATACATTTTCTGAGCATATATATTGAGTTTTGATTCTAGAAGAGGTTAGTGATTATTAAATTTTTCTTGCCTACCAATTATTTGATGGCTCTTTATGTTCAGTTCGCATACCAAAATTTACCAGCAGGAAAACAAAACAAAACTTTAACATTATTTGCTCTCTTAGTTAATTTTCTAGGATTGTATAATGTCAGCATTTTCTCCATACCTTGAAACCCCTTAATGAACATGATTTTAATGGTTATGTAGTGCTTTATCACAAGCTATAATTCAGCTACTCCTTAAGTGTTGAATGTTCGATATTTCCCCCCTTTTTTTGCAAGTATAAATGTGCTGCAATTAATTATTCAGCATAAACCTTGATTTTTCTCTTTAGTGTGTTTTCTAGAAGTCAAATTAATTAATAAAAGACTATGTGCTAGGTACTAAGTCAAAAATTATGAGAATTTTTAAAGACTTTTGATAACGTAGCAAACTGCTTCTCAGAGGTTTCTGAGTGCCTCCTCAAACTACATATTCCTCAGAGTTTGTATTATCCATTTTTAACCTTTGTGAATTTGATAGGGGAAATTGTATAATTTTAATCTGCATCTTTTGGGGGGTTAATTAGATATTTTCCCTCGTACTAGCCAATGCAACCTGAATTTGTACACATATTTCTATTACTATTGCTACCATCTCGAATCTAAGCTATATCATCTTTCACTTAAATTATTAAAACTAGTTTCCCAACTGCTCCCCTACTTCCTTCCCAACTGCTTCCACTCTGCTTTCCTACTCCATCCTTTCTCCACATAGTAACAAAGTGATCTCTTACCCAGTAAACTGGATCGTGTCACTCTGCTTCAGTGGTTTCCCTCTGAGGTTAGAATCACAGCCCCTCTTCTTAGTAGGCCTGTGAGATCTGGCTTCTGTCCACCTCTTCAACCTTATCTCTCCCCTGCTTCTCTTTTCCAGGCTTGCAGGTCTCCTTTCTCTGTTTCTCAAACTCTCAAAGTTCCTGTTATGTTCTGGCCTTTGCTTGTGCTGTTGTCTCCACCCAGAGTGCTTTAACTGTAGACTTTTCCACTGCAGCTGCATTTCATCTTCCATGGCTTAGTTCAGAGGAGCCTGCCTTAACTGACCCTGTGATCCAGAGTAGCCTTCCTGCTGCCTCTCTACCTGGACTCTCTCTCATCTTTTGGTTTGAGGTCGACGTACGTACTAGGGATATTGCGTCTTAATCACCCTGCACGCTTCTCTTCCAATGTTCATTTATTTTATTATTATTATTATTATTTTTGGGTTACGCGGGCCTCTCACTGTTGTGGCCTCTCCGGTTGCGGAGCACAGGCTTCGGATGCGCAGGCTCAGGGGCCATGGCTCACGGGCCCAGCCGCTCCGCGGCATGTGAGATCGTCCCGGACCGGGGCACGAACCCGTGTCCCTGCATCGGCAGGCAGACTCTCAACCACTGCGCCACCAGGGAAGCCCCAATGTTCATTTATTTGATGTGCCAAAGTTTAAAATGTTTCTGTAATAAAATGCATTGCCGTTTTCCATGGGGTTTTTTATATAATAATACAAACTAATAACAATGCCGATTAACTGCAACAATTACGTCAGGCCCTGTTTTAAGTATGTAATAAGCTAGTTAACGGTAGAGCCAGTATTATAACCTAGGTCTCTCTTTTTTTTTTTAATTAAAAAAAGTTTTTAAATTTTTTGCCCACGTGGCATGTGGGATCTTAGCTGAAGCCAGAGTCTTAACCACTGGACCACCAGGGAAGTCCCTATAACCTAGGTCTCTTAACCCGACCTCTTAACCATGCTATCTATGTTGCCATTTTTCTAGTTAGATCCACTAATTGAATCTATATCTTAAATAATAAGAAGCAGCCAACAGGAATAATACTGAATTTAAACTTTGGCAAATTTCCAGATAAGGTTTATGACTGCATTTTTTTCTGCAGTAAAATATGCATAACAAAATGTGCCGTTTTAACCATTTTCCAGCGTATTCGGTAGCTTAAGTACTACATTCACAGTGTTGTACAGTCATCACTGTTGTCTGTTTCCAGAACCTTTTCATCATCCCCAAAACAGGAACTCTATTCTCTAAATAACAACTCCCCATCTCCTCTCCCCCAGCCCCCGGTAACCACCATTCTGCTTTGTCTCTACCAATTTGTCTTTACTGGGTACCTTCTATAACTGCAATATACAATATTTGTCCTTTTGTGTCTGGCTTATTTCACTTAGTGTGATGTTTTCAAGGTTCATCCATGTTGTAGTATGCATCAGTGCTTCATTCCTTTTTATGGTTGAATAATTGTCCATTATATGCATATACCATATTTTGCTTATCCATTCATCTGTTGATGGACCCGTGGGTTGTTTCCACCCGTTGGCTATTGTGAATAATACTGCTGTGAACATTGGTTTATATGTATGTATCTGAATCCCTGTTTTTAGTTCTTTTGAATATATACCGAGGAGTAGAATTGCTGGATCATATGGTAGCTCTGTGTTTAACTTTTTGAAGAACCAGTAAATTGTCTTCTTTAGTGGCTGCACAATTTTATATTCCCAAGGGCAATGCATGAAGGTTCCAATTTCTTTATTTCCACATTCTTGACTTGTTATTCCCTTTTTCTGTTTTTTTTGATAATAGTCATACTAATGGGTGTGAAAAAATATCCCATTGTGCTTTGATTTCCATTTTCCCTAATAACTAAGGAAGTTGAACATGTTTTCATGTGCTTATTCGCCATTTGTGTATCTTCTTTGGAGAAATATCTAAGTCCTCTACTCATTTTGGAATTGGGTCTTTTTTGTTGTTCTGTTGTGTGAGTTCTGTATATATTCTGGATGTTGATCTTTTATGAGGTATATGATTTATAAATATTTTCTCTCACATAACTGAATTCTAGTAGTTATCAAAGGTATATTTAATTTCTTTGGCAGCATGACAGATTTTCTTCAAACCCAATGGACCTTTTAATACATCAATAAACATTTTTCATCCTTAGCTGTATATGCTATTGTATTGTTGCAGTAACTACATAGATGCTTCTGTATCTTCTAAGTTTCTTTTAACTTTATTTTATATCTGCATGTCCATGTGTTAACTTAGTCCTCGTTCTGTGGTATTTTTCTTTGTTCCTGTACCACCTGTAGCACAGAAGCACACTTGTGACAGGTTTCTCTGTAGCGGACTATTGAGTTTATTATTGAATTGGTATTCACTCTACCGTCACGTTGGTAAAACCATAGTTTGCTTAGTCCAAATTTTTGTATAATACAAAATTCATAGTTGCAAACCACAGAATCCACTCTCTAGCTAACATCAGCAGAAAAAAAGTTTTTAAAGGGCATTTGGAAGCCCACAGAATTTACAGGACACCCAACAAACAGGTCAAGAGAATGGGAGCACCATTCGAACCACATTCCGGGCACCGGCCCCACGAGTCCTCATACTGACATCACAGCTTCCACCAGTAATGCTGGGGACTGGAGGTGAGAAGTGCTGTCACACTTTTGCCCTGAAAGGGGCATCTTTACCACCTCTCTTACCAAAAAAGATGAGTTTTCTCATTTGCTTTCTTACATTGCTATTTCTGAATTGAAGTTAGGTGAGAATGCAGTTGGTTGGTGGCCATTAGATCCCATTGCCAGACTAAGAAAGCTGGGAGAGTGAGTTCTGACTTCAGTTTTGGGAAGAAGGGACTCGTAAAGTGGCAAAATTTTGAACAACAGGAAACGTAGGCAAAGATTCTAGATGGCCACAAGCATAGTAAATGTCATTGCATTCTTTAATACATATTTGCCCCTGTACAGGAACCACTTATTACCACTTTGATTTTATTTA